TCACTTGGATTCTATCACAGGATTAGAAACTGTAAGAATATCGTCTGATCATAGATATATCTTTACCATCGTTATGGACTATTTCTGATCATTCTTGACCAACGAATACCACTCTGAGCTCTGCTTCCCTCTTTGAGAGTCCACATTTATTGTTCATCTCTCCTACTTTCAATGAATGCTAAAAAAAAGTGTTCATTAAAGAGATTTAAAAGAGGTTTTCTTAAATTTGTTATGTGTATCCAGGACACTGATATAACATCATTTTGCCGCATTCCAATTTCAAATCAGATTACTTTGGTTCCTGCAATTCCATTAAAACTAGGTGTTTGATGATGTCACTAATCGCAGCGGTCCATATGTGATAAGGCATACTTTGCTTATTTTTGTGGAATTGCAGGAACCACAGACGTCTAACTAAAAATTGGAATGGTGCAAATTGATGCTATCAGTGTCCCCGACACACATAAAAAATTTCAGAAAACCTTTTTACAATCTCTTTAAGTTCTGCATATCATATAATGGCAAATGAGATAAAATAATATAGAGGACAAAGGATCCTAGGTTTAATTATGTTGACTAAAATAAATGAAGAGTATAATAAATATAGACAATTGATAAATATTATACAATGAAGAAATAATAAATAAATAATACAAAATATACAATAAATAACGGACGGTATTCTTGGCATAAATTCACATCAATTTTCACCTTTTTTCACAACATTGTATAAAGGCACAATAACCAAGATATATTTGAAAAGATAATAAAATTTGTGTTTTAAAGGGATTGTTAAAAGGTTTGCTAAATTGTGTATGTGTATAAGGCCCTAGTGATTAGTGATGTCAATAAACACTTAGTTTTAGTGGAATTGCAGGAACCACAGACATATGGTTGAGAATTGGAATGGTGCAAATTGATGCCATCAGTGTCCCTGATACACATACAAAATCAAGAAAACCTCTTTACAATTCTTTTAAGTGTGGAAATTTCTCGGTCAAGGAAATAAACAAATTATGTAGATCCTGGATATTAGCATAAACAGATTGTTTTTATGAAGTAAACTGGGATCATGAGATATCTTAAATTACCCTCCATATGATAAACTAAGCATTGTGGATAAGCATTAAAAGGGGTATTTCACTTGTTTAATGGTATGATAGGTGACCACCAGTAATGACATTTGATGCCACTTAGCTGCTGATGTTTCAGATCTTATTCTATGGAAAACTTACTAGATATAATTTTACTGTTAATTTTAAATGAAAACTTCATTAATATGCATAGGTAGAAACACTCAATATCACTTACAGCTAATATGATAAAAAAAATTTTTGGACACACATGGATTTGAAGGCTCAAATTTTGACGATGAGCTGTGAACACTATTACTGATTAGCTCAGCTAAAAAATTCCAAGTACAATTGTTCAATCAAATGGTATATTCAGTTGAAAAAAATACTGAGATTCTATAAAAGATGGAAAATTTAAAGCACTTTGATTCTGATATATTGGTGTTAAAATGTAAAATTTGGATGGAATTCATAGATTTTGATCAGATCATAAAAGGCAAGTTTAGCAAAATTTATTTAAAAGGGGACGGACATAAAATTTAAATTAAGTAATCTTTACCTGAATTCATCTTAAAGTTTTATTTAAAAGATTGAAGCCAAGGATTTAACAAATCTATGTTATAAAGCTTTGAAAATGAAAAAGTAAAATTTGTGACAATCTTTGTTGGACGGATGCTATGACTACAAATTCTTATATACCTGACATGTCTTTAGTTTAATGGAATGGATTTGAGATATGAACAAAAAACCTTAAAGTGATTGTATAGAGGTTTTCTCAATTTTTTATGTGTATGGAGAACACTGGTGGCATCAATTTTCTCCATTCCAATTTTCAATCAGACATCTGTGGTTCCTGCAATTCCACTAAAACTAAGTGTTTGATGATGTCACTAAATCGCGAAGGGCCTTATGTAATAAAGCATATTTCGTGATTAGTGACATCATCAAACACTTAGTTTTTGTGGAATTGCAGGAACCAAAGACATCTCGCTGGAAATTGGAATGGTGTAAATTGATGCTATCAGTGTCTTCAATACATATAAAAAATTTAGAAAACCTCTTTACAATCCCTTTAACCTAACAAATGAGGGTGTATCTTTTGTAAGATTTCAAACTGATAATGACAGTTCTCTATTTGGTGTTTGAGGAATGTGGTCAAATCACACATACCGAATGTGCAGAAAATAATAACTAAATAATCACAGTTGATACATAATAACAATAATAAAATAAATCAAATAACTTCCTCTGCCACTTCTTCTTCCACAAAATCACCATCATCTTCACCAGGCGATCTTCGGAACCCATTCAGCTTCTCGGTGTTGATAGTTCGACTCAATGGTATGTCTAAAGCTTTGTGTATTGCTTCTATTAATTTTATATCCACATAATAAGCTGGATTCACTACTGGTAGCTTGGTTTTAAGTTCCTCTAGAGCAGCGTAAGCCTGAAATGTAAGAATCCAGAAGGTAGAGTAGCATGCCCTAAAGGCCGCGAGATAGATGGAATCGTCTGCTATACTATCAGGAGCTATAGGTTCCAATGCCACTGAAAACAACAATTACTTCTGTTTCCAAGTTGACCCAATGGTTCTTCTAAACTCTTTTCATTTATATGTAACCATGTTATATCATGAGAATTAAGGGTTTTGGGTCACTAATGAGAGTATATTATTATGCTATAAGTGATTTTAATAGCAAATCTTAGTATACTTACAGCCTTCCATCTTTCTTTCCTAGCATAATGTTCAATCATAAAACTATAGACATCACCTAATCTTATAGAACCTTCACGATCAGATTCACCTATTATCACTTGACACATTTTGACAGCTTCTTCAGGATCTTCATCATAAAGTCTGAAATTAACAAAGACAGTTCATATATTAACTTTTCAGATCTGAACAACTGCAAGTGAAGTGAACGAGAAAGACAGTTCAATTATTAACTAGGACATTTCAATAATTAACAACGACAGTTCAATGATTAACTAGGACAGTTCAACAATTAACAAACACAAATCAATGATTAACAAGGAGAGTTCAATGATTAACAAGGACTGTTCAGTGATCAACAAGGACAGTTCAGTGATTAACAAAGACTTTTCAGTGATCAACAAGGACAGTTCGATGATTAACAATAGCAGTTCAATGATAAACAAGGACAGTTCAGTGATTAACAAAGACAGTTCAGTGATTAACAAGAACAGTTCAATGATTAACAAAGACAGTTCAATTATCAAAGGACATTCTAATGATACAAACTAATTGAATGATTATTAAAGAAAAAGTCAATGATGAACACAGACAGTTCCATGTCTTGATTACCATTAAAGGTGAGATAAAAAATCATGTATTTCTTTAAGATGGTAAAATAGTTAAAACTAACCTTCTAGCCTGAACAAATTTCTTAATGATATTCATCTTATGTTTGATTTGTCCTAATCTTTCCTCTTGTAGACTTTCATCTTGTAATTTGGCTTTACTCATACATTTATAAGCTTCACCTAGAGCACCTATAGCTTTATCATAGTTTTGATATTCATCTATTTCAACCTAGAGTTAAAGAAGAAATTAGTAAACATAGTTTATCTTATGCTACATCAGTGCAAATAAGTCAAATCCTCAGGTTGTTGAAACTTGTGTCCAAAAGAGGACCCAAAAGTTTGAAACATTTTTATGCAAGTAATATTGCCCTATTCTACTGTCCTCTATTGTCTATGCAAATTGAAAAGTTTTTTTTAAATTTTTTGGATATTTTTTAAGAGAATTGGAATATCTGCCTCAAAACAGTACTGATAGTCTTAGAATGCCTTTTGTAAGTTTACATTGAAAAGAAACACATTTCTCTCCTAGAAATTTCAACCCAAAAAAGACACAAATTTTGGCTGAAAATTGTCCTCTGTAAAAACAAATTTTGAAAACATAATGTGTGCTCATGATTATATTTTTATCAACGTAAAGACATTGTAAGACTATTACAGTACTAGTTTGAGGCTGCTATTTTAATTCTCATAAAATAATGGGAAAAATTCAAAAAACTGTTTAACTTTACTCAGACAATCAGTCTCTAAAAGGCTTTGTATTGAGTATTAATCAAACTTCTCAACACAATCTTTTTCCCATCTTTTGCAGAATTCTTGCTCTTCAGATATCTTGACAAATTTGACAAAAAGCATCATTTACCTGAGCACAAGCATCATAAAATCCTGCAAGAGAATCTAATGCTCTTCCTTTGCTGTAAAATCCAATGATATTCTTCATAATTTCAGGATCTTTCCTCCAATCTAAAGACTGTAGATAATTAGCTGCCATGATATAAATCTCCTTTTGTCTTGATACTCCAGCAAAAAACACTATCTTTTGTGTATCTCCTGATTTTAATAATGCTTTCATAGCCTGAAAATGGTTAGCAAGTGAGAAATTCAGAAAAATGTCCAATACTAAAATGTAAAATGTTGATGAAAAACAATATATACAGTTTGAAATTAAGTACATTTACCAGAAGTGAATAAATGCTTTTGTCATTATTTAAGGAATGAATGTAGATCTTGTTATCGTTATGGAGAAATAAATGCTGCTTTATCATGTGACAAGACAAATGACCTTGAGCAGCGGGTGATATACGTTTTGTCACATGATAAACCAGCGTTAATTACCCTATAACAAGATTCATTCCTTATATTTACATTAGGCTATCTTTTCATATAAAACTCGCTATTTCTTAATGGTACAAATAGCCAATATCAGTATCTGTCAATCAAAAGCTCCCCCCCCCCCATGTTAGCAATTAAGGGGGCGTGTTATAAATTTTTCAGTGTTTATTGGGTCATAACGATATCAGGGATAGATGGATATATCGAAGAACAATCATTGGTTCTGTCAATATTTGAATTATATATGCAATTAAAAGCACATAATATCCAAACAACTGCAGTCAATATCAAAGGAACTTATGCCTACTCATCAATTAGTCAGTAAAAGCCAAAATCAAAAAAGACAAAATGAAGTAATCTCAACTCACCTTAATTCTGTTACCAGCTTGAGTAAATTTTTTAGTTGCTAGATGATAAGCACCTTGATGCATACAGACTTCTGCTACAGCCTCTAATATCTTATTCCTTTCATCTGGATTGTTTTCATTTTCATCTTTCTCAGGACTGAGTTTCTCACACAGTTCTTCTGTCATCTCTACATGTTTCTCCATACAGATTTTCAATGCATCCCAATACTACAGTAAAAAATCAAATTTGATGAAATGTAAAAATTGCACACAGATTCTGTGATTATTGTTTGTTGGTTCTTCAAGTTTATTATCTGTAGTTGTGTCTATTGTTAATTAATTAAAGTGTATTAACAAACAATAGTTTCATGATAATGAGATATGGAAACAATGAGATTAATCAAGTCCATGCTCAGAAAGACAAATCAATAAACTTATAATTAGTACTATAATACTAGTGCCCAATAACTTTCGATGAACCATGAAAAAAACAAAATTTGGTGCCCATATAAATAAAGATTTCATATCATACATTTTAAATAATACACGTTCCCCCAGTGCATCAATGTGATCCTTATAACAGCACTCTAGCCAGATCTTATCCAGCTGCTTTTTTCAAGCACCAAGAATTCAGTGGCTGCACCAGCCTCCCAAGACTGGGGATACAGGTGCAGACTGACTTAATGGGGGGACAACACTGTCAAAGCTGAATTCCAACTGAGGAAACTCTCTTGAGGTGTCATAGCCGCAAAACTCTCATAATGCTTCTGAGAAGGTTCTCTTAAGACATATTAGAAAACTTGAATTGATTTGGTGCATACTGACAAATATTCTGACACAAAGGTATAAAAATCATAAACAAATACAGATGCAATTGGGGTTGCAAACCACTGCAAGAGTTGTTTTTTTTTTAATCATGATCCAAGCAAATTCAAAATTTTCATACCAAGAATTTAAAACCAGAACAGTTGGTATTACCCTAAGAGAAGTTTAAGATAAGCATACATTAAGAAATAATTCAAGACCAGGCCTACCTTTTTACCAAGTGCTAATAAATCAACAGCTTTGTCATACTGTCCATTTTCTAAGAAGAAATCACCACAGCGCTGTAATAGTTCAGGATCAGCTCTCTCATCTAAATCACCAGATATATGTTGTAATGCACCAAACTCTTTATTTCTGAAGGCTAAATCTGTAGCCCTAGAGAAATTACCAGCCTAAAATGAAATGTGGAGTTTTATTCCATCATCACTGATCTCTGTGTGCTACTGAAGATATCAATTGCCAAGTAGTTGGCTAGCACAGTGGCTTAAGTTTAAAATTGGACCTGCCAGAGCAGCTGCAAACATTGGAATTATATCCAAAGACCTAAATGATAATAGTCTTTCTGATAGATTTTTCAACGACCACTTGTTCCAAATGACCCTCAATACCAACTATGTACAATCTATAGCTGAAGCCATCTCTAGTTTTTTGTCCTATCCTAATCAACTATTACACAATGCCTCCAGCGCCATAATAGCCCCCTCTACATGGAATGATGATAAAGAACAAACCTTATGGTATAACATGACTGCTTTATCTTGACTATTTGGTTTCTGTTCAAAATATCTAGCAGCTTCCATCATTTCTTCTGGTCTAGCCATTAGAGCTAGATTCATCATCTGATCTTCAATATCATGTTCCTACCAAAACACAACAGACAATATCAATTTCAGTTTCAAATAGTGAATTGTAAAGAGGATTTCTAAATTTTTATGTGTATCAGGGACACTGATTTGCAGCATTTCAATTTTCCATCAGACATCTGTGGTTCCTGCAATTCCACTACAAATAAGTATTTTATGAAATCACTATCGCAAAGGGTAGATTGTACAACCTCTTAAAATCCCTATTTCCAGTAAACAAAATGTTAATTGATTGAGACATTCTAAGGGTTGAACATTGCAGTCAAATCAGGGATGGTCAGTGAAGCAACCCACAAACACCTAGATCTTGAATTTAATTATGGATTCTGGAAGGTATGAAAGGGTGTGCATTATATTTGCAATTATACAGTATATATATTGTACATCAATATGAATACCTACCTTACATAATCTGATAGCACTACCATAAGCCTTAGCTCTCTGGAAAAAATGTATAGCTTCCTTAATTTGTCCTTGATTTTCATATTGTCCAGCTATATAATAACAGGCTGCCTCATTACCAGTCTCATTACAAACCTCTGCTGCCTGGAAAATATATAAAATATCTAATGGAGCTGGTCAGTGAGGGGAATTCTACAAGGACAGCAGCAAAACCTACTGAATTTCCATCTTCAACTGTTATGGGATTTTAATGGGGACTTGGTTTATTGTCTAATCCAAAGGACTAGAGGCTTTTCATGAAGACACCTCAGACCAATACCACTGATAGGGGAATCCAAGTTGAAACCTCAACAATGAAACTATAACAGTGTCAGTTATGCATCTTTACCCAACACGTAAGACTGATTCATTAGCAAGACTGTTAGCAATTCAATTCACGATTTTCAAGGAAGTGCAAAAACCCTGAAAAATTTGACATTTGAATATATAGTTATCACTATATGACCACACAATGATTCCAAACACAAACCATGACCAATGTACTTCTTTGAAATCAATGGATTTAGATTACAGTGCACTAGACACTTTCGTTGATATTATATTTACCCTGTCCATTTCTTCACAATAACAAAACACTCGAACAACAGAAAAAAAATCTTGTGCTGATTCATAAAACTGTAAAGCATTCTTCATATCACCTGTACTTTCTAAATATTGAGCCCACCATTTACGTAGTTTTCTGAAACACAAATATCAATTCAATTCAATTTTTATCCATAATTCTATGGAATGACCCAAATTTACAGTTTTTTAATGGTTTGCTTCAATCCAAAAATGTGCTCATGCCTTGCAAAATGAACCAAAGGCTAGCAAACAATTGTTCACTGGATATACTTGTTTTAAGTCAGCAAATGCATGGCTTCTGAACCATTGATTTACAGCTTCTTGATATTGCTTATCAAAGTGTGTCCAAATTGCTGTATTTTGAATGAGTTATTTCTGAAGTAAGAAATGCCTGCTGAGCACTAGGCACAAAGGGCTTCCTCTTTCAACAGACCCCTGGCTTTGTCATTTGATTTATCGTGAACAACCCAGAATGGCTTTAGGACTCATTTCATGTCTATTTTATTGATTTTTGTCAGCTGGTAGACTTTGTCTTATAGATTAGTAAAATATCTTACTTGTCTTTACTATTAATAATATACTGTTCTAATACTTCAGGTTCATCACCTAACATTCTTGGTACTTCAAATCTATGTGTTTCAGACTTCTCAAATCTATAATAACAATCACAGTTTTACAGAAAAAATTTTTTATGAACATTGGTGTGTAAGTACCAAGAAGAAGCAACCACATTTGACAAAGACGACTATTCATTTTCAAATAGCAACATGTTGGCACAAAATGATCCATAATCATAATTAACAGATGAGTCTACTGGAATATTGAGAAAAGTTGTTTACTCAAAGTAAGCTGCTATTCCTTATAAGCTCTAAACAGAATGATAACTTGCTATGACTGTCATAAAACACATCAAACTGTTTCAAATTCCAAAATCATAGGCAGAATTTAAACTAAGAGATTTTCGACTGAAAAAGTTACAAAATATCTAATAAAAATATTACAAATTTGTACATACCTTTGTATAGCAAGAGCTGTTTCACCAAGATCTTCCAGATGTCTAGCATAACTAAAGTTTGTAGTTCTTAGATGAACTCTGTCATACATCTCAGCTGTCTCAACAGCCTTCTCCCATTGTCCACTATTTTGATAGAATTCATTTAATAAATCATATCTTTTACAGTTCTTTAACAGACGTTCTGCATCTTCCTGTAGATGATAATATACAATCACATTAACATACAGAGATTCTAGAACATATACTTTCAAAACAGCACAAAAATAGCTTGTCAGGCAAGGTAACATACGCCCACTGGCAGCTGTCAGAAATGATAAAACAGTCTTTAGTGACTAAAGTAATAATTTTCTCATATTAAAGAAATATTATTAGTTTGAATTTAATGATATATATGTTCATGCTGAGTAATTCCACAAAATTTTTCATGAAATCTGTAGTCTCTATTGTGCTTATGAACAAATTTTGAACCATTTTATGTCAAGGACTATAACTCAAAAACATTTCATCGAAAAATCATCAAGTTCAAACTTGTCCAAGATCTCATCAATATAAATGATCACATCAAGTTTCATTAAAATCAGACAAAGACTGTAGTCTCTATTGTGTTCGCAAGAAATATTGACAGACCAACGGACAGGGGTAACGGTAATATACGCTCACATGGAAATGTTGACGTAAAACAGTGCTACATCTACACGAAGGAAAAGACTAAATCAAAAATAGAGAATCTTCAAGCTCAAGTAGCAAGTTTGTCTGTAAACAGTCAGTAGTGTTTCATGCATGATAACTTTCCAAGATTCCAATTTTTTTGTAAGAATAAACATGTCCTTATTTCTTTGTCCCAAAAAAAGTAGATCATCTGTGGCAAAACCAGCTAAAACCATCATCAAATTCAACTTACATAAAGACCAAGTTGTGTGGCTAACACAGCTACTCTAGCATCTAACTCTGGTTCTTTAGCTGATTCTCGTAAAGCTTTAGCACCTCTAGCATTACCCATATTCCCTAAACATACTGTAGCAACATCTAATCTTCTACTCTTAACACACATCTTAGCCATGTTCTCCCATACTGATTCACTGGAAAAACAAAACACATTTTCATTAGTCCAACTTAAACAAGCAGATATGGGTGGCTAATGATTGGAGAGTTCTGAACAAGTTCCGTCTGTTCCAAATCTACCTCCAATCGAAGTGTATGAAGGCAGATAAGTCACATTGAAAATTCTTGTAATTTTTTTCCTTCATCGCCATTTGAATTCTGTCTGCATCTTCTATTTTATTGGCGCATGTGGAACGCATTCTGAAATCTGTTGCAACTTGTTTTATTGAACATTGACCCTGGACCCAAAATTCATTAGTACTCTTAATCTTACAACTGGAAAAAAAAAGCAAGAAGAAGAAACTTGAATATACCTTTTAATAAGTTTAATAGCTTTAAAGGCTTCATCCATATTACCAATAGTTAGATAGTAACTAAAGTTCATCATAGCATCTCTAGTAGACTTATCACTAGACTCTAGACCAACAAAATCTCTCATCACTCTACGAGCTACTAATTTAGGATAGATAGCCATAGCATCTTCATCTACAACATGATCTGATTGTTGTTGTGCTGCTTCATCTTCAAATGATTCAGACTGAAAAATCAACAGCATATTAAATACTATGTGAAGCTCAAAATTTAACAAAACACAAGTTTTGTATTTAGGCAGATACCCCCAATAACATATTTACTTTATCAGTTTCGTTGTTATTGTACATAACCCCAGGATGAAGGGAGCAAACTTTATGAAAACAAAACCATTTAAAGATGGGTTTCCTTGTTTTAGAGTCAAATTAAACAAACTATTTGATTACTTGTTGTTTCTAATGAATTTTCATGTATTTTTAATTATATCATTATGTTCTTATTGCATATAATTAAGAGTTTTAACCAATCATAAATGTCCATATATGTACAGTCTGGATAAACAAAAAAAAGACTTTTTGACCTTTCTTGATCAGTTCATTGGAATTTTGCTGGAAATTCTATTCTAATTTTGCTAATTATGAATTAATTATGGACATGTGAGACAAACTGGTATTTTTCCAAGTAGTTAGAGCACCTCTACTTTCTATTCTTATAAGAAATAACATTTTCATTTTCAGAAATGAAAACAAGGGAACCCATCTTTAAGTCACCAATAACATCAAAAGATCATGGCTGATGAAATGATTGAAATATCTTCAACAGTTAATCTAATTTAAAAAATACTTACATTTTTAGCAAAGTATAAATTTGGTACTTCAATACCTAATAGTTTATTATGTTGAACACTCATAGGAAAACTATCCTGTATCAATACACCATTTTCTGGTGTACAGAAGAGAGACACTATCATCTTCTCAACCTATAATATATATTACATATCAAGTTGTAATTATTGAGGTAATAAACGAAGCATTTCAGATAGAAAAGATGCACAAATTGTTAATTGGATATCTTAAATTGATATCTTAAGTTCTCATCACATAAAGAAATATTTCGAAAAAAATGTCATTTTGATTGCAAGCAAAATACGTTTTAACATCATTTTTGGCATTGTTAAAGAAGGGAAAATAGAATTAGATTCTTTTGAGTTGAGTTCAATTGAATGACTTTTTTTTTCTCTATTGATACAGAGCACTACAATATCTTGATATCTTATACAATAATTATTGTTAAAGGGACAGATGCGGCATTTTTGCGAATTGATTTTAGTCTTGAATAAATGTAAATAGTCTTCAGAAGTACTAGAAATGTACGAAAACCGCATAATTCCTTTAAAAATACTTCAAACTAGGAATTTTACTCATTATTTCTATATATGTCTTTTCTATATATCACAAAGTATCTTATTTTGACGAGTCGTCATTTTAACATTCAAACACGGATAATTCTGGACACACATGGATTTGAAGGCTCAAATTTCTCATGTCAGCTGTGAACACTATTACTGATTGGCTCAGCTAAAAAATTCCTGTTTCTGAGACTAGAGTATGATTGGTCAAAAAATGGCCAATCTTTCCCTTTAAGGAAATTGATGAACATTTTCAGCCATAAAGAGCTTACACAAGAACTATCTGAAATTAAGAGTTGTTGCCTATAGAAAAAAGCTACTGACAAAATCATAGTTTAGATAGGTATAAAGTTTAAACTATGACTCTTAAAGACTGAAAATATAACTTACTGGTTCATCTACATGTTTGTTTATTGAATGAGATCGTTTCAACAGGTTATCATTTTTATCTTTAGGTGTAGCAGGTGGTACATATTGAGCTTCACACACTAATAACTTAGATTCCATCATATCCCAATAATGAGAGATAGGTATACGCCCTGCTATATCTTTAGCTGCCTGATTTTTACCTCTGAAAAAGAAGAGTTCATTTATTAATGGCTTGTTATCAGAACCATTGTGACTTTAAGATAATCCAAAATGTACAATACTAGCACTGATCTATTGTTCTAAAATTTTGTGTATTTTCAACAAAAATTCTGACATTTTCTAACAAACTAATCAAGTATTGATTGTCAACAAAAAGTTCCTGCAGTTATGAAGTATTATGTCAAAACTGTTTTTCCCCCTTTTACAGATGTATGCATAGCTTCTTGAAGGGTGAGAACATGTGGACAAACTTTTCTTTGTTACAAATGAATAATATAAAATTATTGGCTTCAGTTCTTATAATCAGTATTTTGGAATACAGACAAAGAATGTTTTTTTAAATATTTTAAAACATGGACCTACTTTTCAGCATCATTAGTGTCTGAATCTTCAGGTTCTCCATCACTAGTAGCAGTGTAGTCATCTTGTTCACCACGTCCAGTCTCAAAATTAAAATACTGTACTGTATCATTCTCTACATCCCAGAAATATAACTTAGGATCTGTATACTTATCCTAGAAATAATTGACAACAATTAACATAGTTTTTCATTGGTAGAATATAACATGATCCAGAACAGGAGATGCATAAAAATTTCGTCAGATTATGGATTGAAAAAAAAAAGAGATATAAAATCCAATTTTGTATCTGAATCAAAATGATATACCACAAAACTGTGGAACATAGAAATCCACGATATACAAATGTGCTATTATATTCAATAGTAGTTTTTGATTAATAACAATAGTAACGTACCGTATTTTGTATAAGTACACTAACTCTATTACCAGTACAGTTACATTTAGCTGATAGAATAGTACCAAAGCCTGGTATGATATCTGATAGAATTTTAGGATTAGTGTGAGCTTTAGCTTCTCTGAAAGAAAGAGTGGTACATGGTGTAAATAAAGAGAAAAAAAAAAGTCAAATACAGCATCAAACCATGCTTTTTAAAAGAGCAAAACTTTATCAACTATGTGGACTCTCAAAACAAAATGTAACTGGACCAAAAGTTACACCAATTTTCAATCAAACATGTGTTTTTCCTCATCTGTGGTTCTTGCAAATTCACTAAATCTAAGAGTTGATGACGTCACTAATTGGAAAATGTGCTTTATCACATAAGTGCGGTTTAAGGCCCTTAGCTATAAGTAACGTTATCAAACACTTAGTTTTAGTGGAATTGCAGAAACCACAGACGTCTGATTGAAAATTGGAATGTTGCAAATTGATGCTACCAGTGTCCCCAATACACATAAAAAATTTAGAAAACGTCTTTACAATACTTTTAAAGTTTATAAACAACTGACAAGAGTCAAACTGTGCAGCTAAATTTAAGACCTTACCTTCGAGACAGATCATAGACTCTTACTAGACCAGTATCAGTAGCTACTGTTAAATAATTACCACATATATCTAAATATATAGGTACACCTTCCATATCAATAAAACTCAATATCTGTTTTACTGTTCCCTAGAATCAAAACAAATATTTAACAGACCTTCACTCATGTCTTCATTTCATAGACATAAAATCAGGGACAATCCAACTTATATCATCTTAATTTCAGTATAGATTGTTATTGAAAGTTGTCATTGCAATTAACCAAATTGTCCACTGCTTTGATTCACCCTTCATATTTTTCAATCAGGGTGAACATTTTTAAACCATTTCATGCTTGATTAGGTTTATTTTGACTCTATATTCAAAGAATATGTCAATAATACCTGGAAAGTTCGAACTTGAACTTTATTTTGTTCTATAGTATAGACATTCTGTTCATACAGACATATCATCATAGCTTCAGTCTGAAATGTACCTATAAGAACGAATATGAAATATAAATAATAATGCATTAGAATATCTCATTATTTCTTATTACTTGCACAGGAAAAAAAAATGTTGAAATGTAAAATGTTAAAGGGACAGATGCGATATTTGGGGGCATTGATTTGAGTATTGACTATATGTAGAAGTACTAGAACTAGAAATGAACAAATATCGCATAATTCCTTTAATAATACTCAAACTAGGAATTTAACTCACTATTTCTAAATATGTCTTTTCTATCTAAAAATGACAAGTCGTCATTTTAACATTCAAACGCGGATAATTCTGGACACACATGGATTTGAAGGCTCACGTTTCAACAGTGAGTTATGAACACTATTACTGATTAGCCTAGCTAAAAAATTCCCGTATCTGAGACTAAAGCATGATTGGTCAGAAAATGGTGCACCTGTCTCTTTAATAGGAAAGTAGAATTTGAGTGGATAATAAAATAACTGAACCATGAAATGAAGTTTTACACCCTTCATCTGCACTATCACTTTGGATAATGAAATGGGGAATAAGGGAAATTTTGAAATGTGCTTAGAAACACACATGGCATAGATTGCTATCTACTTAAATTACTTTTACAACAGATTCCTGTATCACTGAAACACCTGTTTAAAAACCATGGAATCAGTGCAAAGCAGATGGCTTCGGAAAAGTATATTTACCTGTTGATCTTATAACAGATCTATCTGCAGCATATTCATACAGTATGACTCTTTTACCATTCCATATTGCCATGGCATCCTGGAAATTAAGTAGCAAGAATTGATTAACTTACTCGATTAAAAACATCCAAATATCAGAATTTCAACAAAATAGGTCAACTACACCATGTCCTAAATTTTCATGAAGAAGCACAGAGTGTGTAGCCATAGCAATCTGAGCGTCTTACCTTGGTGGTATATGCTCCTTTTATCTGCATATCAACTTTAATATCATGATTATTACCAGTTGAAAATATCTCTATAGCTATAGAACTTGGTCCATATTGTACCACAGCAGTCTGAAATATAGACAATGAGTTCAAATAGACACAATAAAACCTGAAAACAGAACCTGAAACATGTTGTTACTCAGAACTTCAGACAACTGACCTTCTTAAGCCTGAGTCCTTACTTACTTCTAGATAGATTTGCATTGATTTGATTGATGGAGTAAATGAACTGAATGACTAAATACAAAGAAATAACTTTACTATCAGAGAGTATCCAATTTACTGCTCCAATCGAAATCAGAAGTTCATTTGGTTATAGGGTCATTTGCTGATCTTTTTTGGGGAAAAGTGAATTTCATGTAGCAATGATTATCAATACAGATATTATCTATATGATCTTACCTCATCTCTAAAACTAGCACTCATAACCTGTTCACTTAACATAAACACATTAGATACTGTATTAACTGCCATAAAACCTTTCTTTGGTGCCCACTGAAATATATCATACTCACATTAATAACTTTTGTTTTTGTAGGAATCAAATTTTTTTTTATGGATTTTAAGACTGTAATAAAAATTGTCTACATATAAAACATAAAAAGTTAACCTTGCAAAATGCAAAAACACGGAAAACAAAAGTACAAGTATAACAACCAAAGTTCACAAAGGATCTTTTCCATCAGCTGTTCCTTGGCCAAACCTCGTGATATTGATCTTTCCCTGATTATCTATATCCATTTACAGTTAGGTAGACTGGAAATGATATACACGGTTGAAAACAGCCAAACACACAAAAATGTATTTGAGAAAGTGACATTTTAAGACAGAAATTAAATATTTTTGCAAGTATTGCTAACACTAACCTCAACTTGTCTGACTGGACCATCAACAACAGGTGGTGACTGTAATCTCCACATACTTTCCTCATCACCAACTTTACCCAAGTTAGGAGAGTACTTCCACAATGCAATGTTACCATTATTTGTACCACCAGCCAAAGTTCCTGAAAATATTTCCAGAGTCATATTATATGACCAAAAGTTTGTTTTCAGAAAATGAAATGAAATGAATGGAGTTTTACTAGACATTTATATACATTTACATTTATAAATACCTTGAAGGTACTTTTCCTGTCTTAAGACCTAGGTTTGGGGTAATTGATGGCAAGTTTATAGCAATCATCTCAAATTATATTGATGTTAAATGTGGAAATTTCTGGCATTTCCTTTTTCTGTCAACACATTCCAAAAAAAAATTCATTGTAAGAATGGAAATTTAACCGTAAGATTTGTTATATTGCAAGGAACCAGGTTTTGTGACTCTTTAGGTTATTTCTGAACAGGTTCTGTCTGCTCCATTTCTACCCATTCAACAACGTGACATTCAAAATGTCCCCTATCTATTTCCTTCTCCTACTATTTTTTCAAGAGACGTTTAATACATTCTGAACTCTGTTCCAAATTATTTCATTGTATGTTCTGTTTCCATAAATCCTGAACATGCAGAACTAACCATTCATATGGCCCCAAAGACATCTTCCAAATTTGCTCTTCTTCTTTACAATTAACATAATATAATAATGTCATAATCATTCCAACGTAAACATCATTAATTTCTTACCATTTTCGGCACAATAGCTGATACAGATGATAGTTTCATTATCATCATAGGCATTATGAGAATCTAGATTCAATACAAAATTATCTTCACTAGCTAAATCCCACATTCTAACCACCATTTCACCAGACGCAGTAGCTAATAAACCTTTCCCAGCCCATAATATAGATACATTGCCTGATTTACCACTTAATTTAACCTACAAAAAAAACATTATTTAATGTTAAATACTTTAATGCATTCTACTTTTTCATTTTAAAGGTGCCGGATCTAACTTGTAAGAAGCAAAAAGTTCTTGAAATTCTTGGATTTAATTCCTTTGCAGATATCTTAAAACATTATTATTCAAAATTGTCTAAGAGGCTTAGTACCCAAGATAGAGAAACAGAGGTCTAAATATTTGGTTTCCTAGCTGATAAACTATGATTTAGGCCATGCATATCACTTTTCAAATTGAGAATCTGTTATTTCCAACTACACATTTGACATAAATTGAAGAAAGACCAGACATCAAATTATATTTTGAAATGTGCTATAATGGGGCTTTATCTCTTTAGTGTTTAGGTCAAACAAAGGAAATACCTTTAACACTTCCTGTGTACCACCATCAGGTAACACTGTATGTTGTGTCATTTGTAACTGTTCTGTAACTGTCACTAAGATATTGCGTTCATCATAATATAACAACTGTTTAACACTGTTATCTGCTGAGAATGATTGTGTACACTGTCCTGTATCATTCACATAGTAAACACCACCTATAAAAACAAGATCTCTAACATATTAGGCTACATTGTACATGAATCAAAGGTCAAGGGTGGGTTCAGGATCATTTGCAAAATATCTCATTGAATCTGTTTATATTGAAAAATAATGGTAAACTTCCAAATTTAATTGTTATTCAAGCATGACAGGAGTATTAGAATTTGTCTCCACTTCTCTTTCAAATCATGCATTGGCTCAGGTTGATTTAATCCAGCAATTGATACCATTCTCCCAAATGTCAGTGCTCATTTGTTAAAAATTCAGTTGCTCCAAGTCAGCAGACCTCATCTTCACTGAGCTTAAAAATACAGCAATAGATGCAGTAACATCATTTTACCATGAATTTATGACACCAGGTATGTCTATTATTGAATTTATATCTGAATGACCAGGTTTGAGCAAAATCTAAATTTCAAATGCATTCTATGAGTTAGAATACCTATAACAGTATGTACATTCAAAGAAACCTACCATTTGCACCTCCAACGAAAAAAGCAAGAGATTCTGATGGAAAAAACATTGGTGTTGAGCTCTTGCCTCTCTTCCAATTAAACATATCTAAAGCAGCCTCATCACCACTTACTGCTGCTCTGGCTAATGATGCAATATCTCTGAAATATATTTCAATTCATATCTATATTTTTTTCTTTCCAAAGGGAAACGAAATGCATTTATGTCAGTCTCTCAAACATGCATCAATGAAAAAATAAATCTTGACCTTGCATTTTCATTCAGAAGGTAGGTCCTAAAGAATCAGAATCAACAAGGGTTTCCTGACATTAAAGATTAATTCTGATAACAGTACTAAATTGTACTAAAGACTATCTTTGTCCTTACGGTAAAGCTTCTCCTGTTTTTGAAGGTCTATATAGTATACTAGTTAATGGTTCTTGTATATGATGTTGACAAAATGGATGTTGTTGTAGTCTTCCTTTACTATCAGATTTCCATACAACCAATACACCATTCTGTAAAAAAAAAAAAAAAAAATTTAAATCAAAAATTAAACAGAAATCTTAACTAATGCAGTATCATAAATATGCTGATATTTGGAATTCATTTTTGTGAAGTTTGACTCATGGGGCAGTTGCTTTTGTTGTTGTTCAATTGAACAGATTTTCCTTTCATACATTGTTGAATATAAATAATTATGGGATGGAATCACTTAGATAAAGACTGTGGTTCAGGTAATCCCAGAAAAAATTACAAAATCCATTTTGGCCTCAACGATATAGTTTCAAAAGCTGGTGAAGTTTAGAATGTAACATCAATTATATAGAGTCTTCTAACTTCAACTCACCTTGTCGCCAGTTGACAGTCTGCTACCAGTAGAACTCCAGTGTAGAACAGAAACTTCATGTTTATGTATTTGTAGGGCTTCAGTGACCTCATTATCTTGCTCATTCCATATAGTTATCTCCCCTGTCTCCCACCCAACAGCAAGTATTCTTCTATTAGGATGCCATGCTATAGTAGATACATGACATTGCTTGTGGACCGCATTATGCTGAATCCTTTCTCCCTACAACACAAAGATTTCTAAGTCAAATTAGAAAATAGATTAAAGGCTATTAAAAGTAGGTTTCAAACTTGTGTGATTTGTGTTAAGAATTTTAGGTTGTAACATAGTGGTTAAGTAATGTTACGCAAACACAGGCACAGGCATGTAAGCTTACAATTTGTACAAATCTTATGATTTGAACATCTGATGACAAACAAATAACAGCAAAAAACAATCTATGCTTTGAACACAAGAGTTTTACAGGCTTGATATTGACGGATTAAGATTCCCAAGTATGTTACCTCTTCAGTATAAATTTCAACTGTGCCGCCATTTTCTTCACTGTAGCAGATGACAGCTAGATGTAAAGAGCTGGGACACCATTTTATTTCTGTTTTAATATACGAACTATCACCTCCTAATCGATGGTCAAAATATACAGCCATTTCAGGCTAATAATTCTGAAATATGAATGTAACACTAGTTAATACTGTCTTTTTTCCACTGTGACGAGTCTTGGGAAAACTTAACTTCAATAAACCATTTCAAAAATATAATTAGTAACAGAACATAAAATGCAGATTGACTAATATTGATTATTAACTTTTGCTGCAGTTGTCTATTAATATTAGGGTCAAATCGAAATTATTAAGAAAAGCCGAAAAGAAATATCAAGATGATACAGGTTTTCAGCCAACAGCACAAAACCTGTATCTGTTACAAACTCACAATATTATCTCAGTCAGTAAATATTAATGCCAATTTTATATAATTACAATGCTCACTAATCACTAATACCAATCGGGCAATCGATGACAATGTGACACAAATATTGAAAATCGAAATTCAAAGTTGATAAAATATAATGCGAATAAAGTTGGTTGCAAGAAAATATTAACCTTGTTGTTGGCCTGAGTCAAATACAATATTATTTCAGCATTAAATCAGTAATCACAACATTTTAACACATTTAGCTCCCAAGATATCCCAGTTTAATGCTTGTAAAAGCGATTTATGCAGTAATCCTTTTCGGAACGTGAAAATATTTGGACGGAAATGGAATGAATTGTGGGAACATTTTTGACAGGTGAGAGGTTCAAATTTACACATTTTATTCAAATTTACATAATCTACAATAAATTATGTGCATGAATTATGCACATTATGTTAAAATTCAACTCACTTCGCCTGTTTTCCTCTTTTGTTTATTGTAGATTTCTTGAAAAACAACAAAATTATTTTAGTTGTTTCCCTAGCACTTGTTTGTTTACCAAAGTGGAGATAAATAGGAGAGAAGAATTTTGTCTCGATTATCATGTCTTACAGACAGTTTGTACCCGATTTTAGAAACATTACTAACCGATGGGTTATTTCACATCAATTTCCTTAGACTTTAGATTATCTTTTGATTCAGATTGAAGCAGTTTTAATAGTATTTATCATTTATTAGAAAAATTAAACAGTTAAAATCGTAATATTAAAGTATGCACTAATCTTGGCTTCAGAACGTAACCAAATACCGTACTATAACCTGGACAATGATTTTTATGCCTCCATTACTGCATCTTTCTCCTCAGCTCAGATAGTTTTTTCTTCTCTTTTATCCTTAAAATAGGTAAAGTAGACTTTTAAAACACATAATGTAGAGTCTTCCACTTAATACTGCTTCACTCCAGAAGATGTAGCCTTTTGGTGATTGGTTTGATTAGGCCTGAGCTGCGATTCAATCAATCAATTCAATGACATTGAGTTGACTTATTAGTTTAGAAGCAATCCAATGCCAGCACTCTTTTACCACAATCAATGAGCTCAGACTTGACTTTTTCTCCATTCCCCAAATATCTAAAGGTCCATAGGAATACAAGGGTTGGTAATTTGAAATAGACATAAATTTCCTGTAAAAAATGACACAATATTGTGCTTCAAGCCTCTGTTGTTATACAGCAACTACATGAAAAAAAATTGAATTAAAGCAATAACATGGCATTCTCTTCTGAGTTCTAAGGGTTAGGAAACTTCTACATAGCTGCCTTGGGCAGACTTGGGATAACCCGTCATTGTATTGCTAGCAAACAAGGAAGATTGAGGGACTGGTATTTTAGATTGAAATGAACTGATACAGGAAAAAAAGAAGGCCTACTATGACAGGTTTTATCCGACTTTATATTTTGATTTTGGTTCAGGATGCATTGGTTTACTATAATAGATTATGAATTGATCATTTCTTTCCAGACCTGTTAGATTCAGATATAAATCAAAATGACATCACAGTTTGGCGGTGCTAAAAATCCACCCTGGGCTAGACCAGGAGGTACGTATTGTATAATTATTGTATGGTTTTACAACTGGAAAAATCAATAATGCAAGCTTACCGATGCTATAGAGATAGCATTGTGTTGACAAAAATATTCATACATCCACATTTTGATAATTCTAGTTTCACTTTTGGAAGCAAAAAAACTTGTGATTTTCACGTAAATTGTAGATAGGACAATCAATAACTTATTTAGAAGTATAAACAATGTTTTTTTTTCCTTCAGATTTTATGAATGCAAACTCTGCACCACAGATTCCTCAAAATCCAATGGCTGCCACCCAACAACTTGGTAATACGTTAATGATGCCAGGAGGTCTAGCTACTCATGCTAATGTTTATGGTTTAGGTTCTAACAATACTCAACTTGGTACAGCTCAATATAATACAGCCTTGTCTGCTCTTCAACAGGTAAGTTTTATACTTAAAGATGGGTGTTTCCTTATTTTTTAGTTTCAAATTCAGAAAACTTTGATTAATTGGTGCTTCTAATGAATTATCATGTTTTCTTAATCATATCATTATGTTCTTATTGCATAGAATTAAACCAATCATAAATGTCCATGTATGTACAGTCTGGATAAACAAAACAAGACTTTTTGACCTTTCTTGATCGGTCAATCATTGGAATTCTGCTGGTAATTCTCTTCTTATTAAGCTAATTTTGAATTAATTATGGACATTTGAGACAAACTGGTATTTTTTTAGAACACTTTCTATTAATATAAGTATTAGCGTTTTCATTTTCTTAAATGAAAATAAGGGAACCCATCTTTAGATGTCATCTTGTCAGCCCACGAAATCTGGCCTTACCTGTTCCATGGACATGATATATGGATGTTGTATTGTTAAGTTTAGGGTCTATCAGAGTGAGAATATGCACTGGGTGAAAATAACAAGAATTGTTCATTCATTCATCAATTTTTGTCAGCATTGTAAATTTATTCTTGGTTTTCTAAAAAAAAAAAAAACAAATTGGGGGTGATCCACTGTTCAAATATCAGCTAATTGTCTTATGGTCTTAGTTCGTATTTTTGGTGAGTTGGTTCCGCATTCCCCCTGAACAATAACCATCTTTCCAAGCCAAAACATTGGAACTTTCAGCTGGAAATATTTATTAATGTTCTTTATTTTTGCAGACAACAGCTCTGCCTCCACCTCAAGCTGTACTACCACAACCTGGTATAGCTACACCTACTACATTAGCTTCACATCAAGTTAATACTATCAGCTATCCAACACCGAGACCATCAGCAGCTAGTCCAGCTGTTAAACAGAGAGTATTTACTGGTACCGTCACTAAACTTCATGACACGTTTGGTTTTGTTGATGAAGAGATCTTCTTTCAGATGACGTAAGTAATTACTGAATGAAAAGCATATGATAAGTTATTTTATCATTTTGCATTCATTTCACTCCTGTTGATTTGGCTATATTTTTCGGTCTTGGTTAATTAAAACCCCAAACATCAGTGATTTTTGTTTTTGTAAAATGGACCATTTTGTTTTTCCTGGCAAAAATTTATTTACATTTACAATGTACTGTTGTAAATTTGTAACTGATTTTTAAGGTACTATTAAAAGATCTCTGGAAATAATTTCATTCACTCTCTTCAATTTCTGGAACATTTGACTAATTTCTTTCATTCTGTTTTTACAGGAGTGTAAAAGGTAATCAACCTAAAGTTGGAGAAAGAGTATTAGTTGAAGCATCATATAATGCTAGTATGCCTTTTAAATGGAATGCCACTAGAATACAGCTACTACCTGGTCAGGTAGGTTGTCAATCAACTTTCAACAAATAGTATCTAATTTTGACAATAAAACTTGTTGACTTATGTGTTTATATCGTGTAATATTATATATTTCTATCATGTTTCACTTTAGCTAGTAATTCTTTTAATGACTTGGGTAATAGCTGTTCATGATATCAAATGATTTTCAAAATTAAAGCTATGCTCACATCTGGCCATTTTTGGAGAGTGGTTTTAACAATATCTTATGATTATGATAATAAAAAGTTGCTCGGATTTCCAAATGCATTGGTATGTATTGTGTAATATTTGGAACCTATTGTCATAATGCTTATATTTCTATACCTAGGGATCAACATTAGGTCAAGCAACACCAATCAAGACTAATATAGGTAATATTAATCAACATACATCTGGTAGTCAGGGTAAACCAGTCCCAATGAATGCTGTACCACCACCTTCTATGATATCAACTACCAATAATGATTTTAGAGGTCAGTTCAATCAAATACTTCTGCTTGGACTCCAAGCGAACCAAAGGCATTGACCATGGCATCAAAGGTGCCCTACAGTTCCAAGCAGACGACAATAATGCTTACTGGTCTTGTAGTGTTTGACGAACTGTTATCCAGTTGTTGCCAGTGAGGTACTTTATATACTCAAGCTTCCAAACACCCTGATGCTAATCTGTTGATGGTGACATGATATTTTGTTTATTTTTCTCAAAGGATACTGTTTAAATCATGGTGTCTATACAAATTTTATGATGGTATAGTTTCTTTTATTGGATATCCTGAATAATGTTTTGTCAAGTGTACTAAGACATTTCATTATTCAATTGAATCTCTTACTTTAAAATCATCAAAGAGAAGGTCAGTTCGGGCTATTGGGTTTTTGAGTTTACTCATTGCACACTTCATTTCTTCCAGGTGGTACTCAGAATAGAACACCAGCTGTCAATCTACCAGGCAGTCATAGAGCAGAACCTAATAGATTTAGCTCCATGAAAGATCGTGAGAAACATGCTGATAGAGAGCGTGATAGACGTGATAGAGATAGAGGTAGTCGTGATATTAGACGTAAGAGATCACCTCCTCCAAGATCTCGATCACCAGCTAGAAGTCCTCCCAGAAAGAGATCATCTAAACCACGTTATGTTTGTCAGATTCCTAAACTTTCTTTGAATCTGTAAGTTACTTATTTGGATGTCATTTCTCATTTTGCTTTGCCTTAGCTTATTCTGATAAAGTCATCCTCAAAGTACACCTTAATCTTCATCCTTTGTACACTGATGAGTGTAATTCAAATAAGTTCTACTAACACTTAGGGCCGTATACAGCGCTCTTACCTTGACTAAAGTTGAAATTTGACTAAAGTCGAACTTTACAAAGTTAGGATTAAGGCTTTCATTTTCTAGATTTGATAATCAAATTTAAGCATACCTAAAGTTCGACTTAAGTCTAACTTTAGTCAAAGTTTAGGTAAAGAACGAGCGCTGCATATGGCCCTAAGTGTTTGATGACATCACTAATGGTCAAATATGCGTGTATCACATAAGACCCTTTGGAATTAGTGATGTCATGAAACACATAGTTTAAGTGGTATTTCAGGAACCACAGACATCTGATTACACATTAAAAATGTAGAAAACCTCTTTATAATCTCTTTCAAGCTACGACATTAAGGGAATATGATGTCACTTGGTAATGGCACCTCTAAAAAGCTTTTTTTAGTAAGAAGCAAAACTAAGAATGATAATAAACTTTCTTTGCTTCAACCAAAGAGAAGTGGTAAAATAATAAAAAAATTCTTTGCTTTTTTTCAGTAAAAATGCTAATGTGGTAATGTTAAAATCTAGATACAGTAGTATGTATATACCAAGCGATTTTTTCTTTACTAATTTAACATGGTCTGATGCTTTCCCATTAGAACGATCATTTAAACTTGGTCACAGCTGTAATTTCCATGTATTACATAAAGATGTAGAACCATTGACACCAAATAAAACCGTTCTGGAACCAAATGATGCTGATCATCTTTTTAGTGCCAAGGTAAGATTGGATAAAAATTGCTTTCATTGAATTTTATGGTTGCTCAGTGAGTTAGATGCTTGCCTGAGGGCCCAGCACTCTATCTCAAGATGTGATGAGATAATTTGTCAGATTTGATCTGGTTTACCCCATGGCTGATATGGAAAAAAGTGTTTAGTCATTTGAATACGACAATAAACTGAGGACTCCTTGACCATTAGAAAATAAACAAAGAGAAGATAATGCCACTGTCCTGGCAAAATTTCCCTCTTTGCACACTGCTTGGTGTAGCCCATCTTCCATTTGTCCAATCAGGTGCATTCCTAGTCATTGTTGAAAGCAGTAGGTTGAGGATGTTAAACTCCAGTTTTCTCTGTAGGTTTAAGAGAGTCCATCTTTATTGATCAAACATAAGTGCATTTATGGAATGTTTTTTCAGGTGATGCTATTATCTTCACCTTCATTGGATGACCTTTACCATAAATCATGTGGTCTGGCAGAAGATCCAGTAGATATTCAGGAATCGTTCCAACATCCTACCAGACTTTTACAGTTTCTAGTTGGTATTCGTGGTAAAAATGAACCCATGGCTATAGGTGGACCTTGGTCACCTTCTCTGGATGGAGCTGATCCTGCTGGTAATCCACAAGTGTTGATCAACACTGCCATCAGAACGACAAAGGCTTTAACTGGTATTGATCTAAAGGCTTGTACAAAATGGTATGTGTTCTCTTTATGGTTGTTGCTGTGGATTACAGTTTTGAATGTGGTTCTTCAAAATTGAATAATCCCATTAGTTTTGGACAAATGTTTGATATAAAAATCTTTAACTATCATGTACCAGGATGTAGAATTTTCGATCAAATGCATTTTGCAGAGTCTAAAGAGTCTATGATGTCCATTATCAAATTCTTCCTTAATGATGGTTTATAGATTTTGAATAACTCCAGATATACTTGAATATCATATTACTGGTAGGGGCTATTTAGGTTCATCTGATTATAGTCATTATAAGATTTGTTAAAAAGATATGGAGACATAAGATAGCCTTGTATCACTCCAAATTCAACAAATATCATTTATTTTACAATCATCAGCATATTTTCAAAAATAAAAGATATTCTTCTTTGTTTTTGATTGTTTATAGCTTTAATTTAGTGGTTTACATTTTGTTTTTTCTTTTTTTTCCCACCTTTCCTTTATATAGGTATAGGTTCGCTGAGATTTGTTACATGCGACCAGCCTCTTCCAACAAGGGACGTCATGTTGATGCCAGAGTAGAAACTGTCGTCATTTTTATACCAGATGTATGGATGTGTTCCCCTTCTCAGACAGAATGGGAAGACCTACAGGCAGCTTATGCCAAGCAACTCAAGATCAAAATTGGTGATCCCGAGAAAACAGATACAGGCACACAGGCACTGCTAATATATTGTTTTTTTTTTTTTCCACAGTGAAATCGAATAAGATATCATTTTTGAGCAAGGTTTTCAACTTGATCATTTCGTGAAATTATTCCAAAAATGATATTTTATTTCATAAACATAAATGGTGACAAAAAATTTCTTGTAGAATATCCTGGAGCATTTATAATACTCGTTGACAAAACTTTCCAAATTTTTGCCCTAGGAGTTTTTCTTTCAGGACTTAGTAAGGTATGTTTGTTTGTGAAATTGTGTGAAAGTGGGATTCATTAATTTATAATCATTTAATTTGTTTGGAATTGTGATTTGAATGTTGTGTCTAATTGCGATTGTAAAATTTCCCAAGGAACCTGAGAAATAACGCTATTTTTTTGTCTGTTTATTAGGATGAAGAAGATATGGAAGCAGATAGTAACGCTGAAAAGAAAGAACCAACACATTTTTCAGAATTGGATCCTAAATCCATGAAGGTAGGCCATTTTTTTTTACCAATCACACTTTAGTCTGAGAAACAGGATTTTTTATCTAAGCCAATCAGTGATCACAGCTCACTGTTGAAATTTTATCCGTCAAATCCATGTGTATTTGAATGTTAAAATGATGACTCATCAAGATACTCTGTGATATATAGAAAAGACATATACAGAAATAAAGAGTAAAATTCTTATTTTGAAGCCTAGCCTTGACCGATAGTGGTTTGGTGTAAAAGGGACCTATGACTTAAATGGATTAAAGCATTAAAGCATTGTTATCAAAGTTAAGTAGTATTTTAGACAGTGATGTCTGGCTAGATTTTTGTCATCCCAGTTGCAAAAACCGATAACCTGTTTAAATTCCTTTTGAGTATCCAAGAACTATTTCATTTACAGATTCTAGATCTAAGACAAGAATTAGAAGCTAGGAATCTGAGTGCTAAAGGATTGAAATCACAGTTAATAGCTAGATTAACTAAAATGTTAAAAAGTGAACAAGAAGCTGAAGAAGAAGAGTTAAAACAAGAACAGGTTAGTTTTAATACTAATATCATAGTACTTACTTGACTATTATAAAAAACCTTTGAACTGTGTAACATCAATTCATCCCCCTAACAAACATGTTTGACAGCGAAACTCAGTTGATAGAGAGCTGGATTGTCTTCTGCTAGAGGACTAATATCCATAGATTCAAATTCTTTGCAAATGCTACAACCAGTACTTCCAAAAGTCACCCAATGTGGAATTTCAACACCCATCACCTATCTATGATAGTTATTCTTGTACCAGTCTGATTTTTAACTTGCCTGTCTGTTTTCATTCATCTTCATCTATATTTACAGGAGAAAGAGAAAGAAAAACCCACCGATCCTGAAGTATTAGAAGCTTTAGCTAAGGAGGAAGCACAGAAAAAAGAGGTATTTGAATAACCTAACTTGTTCAACAACTAGCTGGTCATTGCGTAATAGGCTGACTGTTCACATAAGACCCTAAGACATTTGAAAATAAAAACACTCCTTCATTGTATGGCTTTGCCTATCTTTATTATCTCTATTTGTGAGACAAAATATGAAGTAAAAATTCAATTAATTAAAATTCCTTAAGCAAGTGTTAATTTTTGTGCTGGACTAGAAAACACATTTATTCTTTAAAAAATTTGAAATTTTACAGCAAGAAGAAGAACAGAAGAGAAAAGAAAAGAAAGATAAAGCGTTATTAGAAAAGAGATATGTTATGCCTGATGTACCATCAATATTGGTACACCCACATCCTACTGCTAAAGGTGGAAAGTTTGATTGCTGTGTCATGTCTTTAAGTGTACTCTTAGATTATAGGCCTGAAGATAACAAGGAACACTCATTTGAGGTATGGTTTGATTATATGTCTAATGATGAGATTTAGGAGTTTCACGAGTTTTCTACAAGGGGATATTTTGAACAAGATAGTATTTAAAGTTTCATGGAGTTTGCTTGCTGCAAATATATAAGAGGATATATTGTTGGTTTTACTATATTAAAGTACATTATTTCCAAATGCGTTCAGTTATTTTAGTTGTTTGTCAAAGGAGAGTTGGGTTATTGCCCTTGATGGAATTATGATAAAATAATTATAAAATATAATCATATTTTTCAGGTGTCTCTGTTTGCTGAAATGTTCAATGAAATGTTGATGAGAGATTTTGGATTCAACATTTATTTGAGTCTGTGTAAAACACCAGCTGCTAAGAAAGATGAAGATAAGAAAGAAGATAAGAAGGATAAGGAAGATAAGAAAGAAGATAAAGATAATGACAAAGATGATGAGAAAGAAAAAGAAAGACACAATTCTGAAAAGGTAATTATTTGTAGATTATTGGAGAATGATTTAAGAGCACCATTATTATTTGATAATGATGTAGGCTTATGTTTAATTACTATATTATAGGATTTATATGATGGTATGATCATTGTTAATATGATATAGAATAATGATAATGTATCTTTAGGTAATTATTATATTATAGGATAATGATAATGTATGTTAATGTAGTTATTATATTATAGGATAATGATAATGTATGTTAATGTAGTTATTATATTATAGGATAATGACAATGTATGTTTATGTAGTTATTATATTATAGGATAATGATAATGTATCTTTAGGTAGTTATTATATTATAGGATAATGATAATGTAGTTATTATATTATATTATAGGATAATGATAAACATGATGATAAAGAAGAAGACATGGAAGAAGATGATGATAAAAAAGGTAAAATAATTATTCTTTTATTACAAATACCATATTGTCTTATAATCCACTTTACCAGTTTAAAGCAGATGAATTTCATACACATTCAATAATTTAAGAATAAAAATCTGATATCTTGTGTTAATTGTGATCTCAATTTTCCAGAGTCCTATTGTCACCCTTCTCAGTATATATATTATCTTAAAGACTACCAATGGAATTAACCTAATGAAACCGTCTTTTCATAAGAAAGTGAACCTGACATTTGATATTCATTCTGTGTAAAAAGTGATATGGCTTTTTCTCTGGCTGTCTTTTAATGATTAGATGACTGATTTTTTTTTTTGCAAAAAAAACATTAGTACTACGGTTAAACAGTCCTTTTCAATGCATGTAAACATTTGCCATATAGCAATACAAGCACCTTTGTAATTGTAGATAAGAAAGAGAAGAAAGAAAAGAAGAAGATAACAGTTGATCCAGGATTATTATTATCCTATGTTTATTATGATCAGAATCATACTGGTTATATCTTAGATAAAGATATAGAAGATATACTTATGACAATAGGATTACAGTTATCTCGAGCTCAGGTGAGTGACCTGTCTTATTGAGGAGATGAGAATCGTGGGTTTTTTTACAAGTAAAGAAATAGCTTAAAGGGATTGTACAGAAGTTTAATTTCAAGAGCCACTTACATCTGAAAATCTGAAAGGTGCAAATTGATCAGTGTCCTCTATGTGATACACATAAAAAGTTTGGAAAAATTTCTATTCAACACCTTGATCAGAAGAATAGATAGAAAGTACTGCTGTACACGAACAAATAATTTAAAATCTTCTTCATTGCACACTGCATTGTCTCTCCTTATTAAGTAAGGTGTATAAGAGAAAAACATTGCAATGTTTTAATATTTATGATGGAATTTTTAACATTTTGTGAAATATCTTAGACACAATATTTGAATTCATATATGACATGATTAATATTTTTCTATTATTGCAGATAAAGAAAGTTGTACAGCGTGTTATCGTAAGAGATAGTTTTAATTATCGTAAAATAACAGATGCTGTAGAAGGAGAAAATATAGAATCAGTTTTAACACCCGTTGAAGAGTCCAAGTTATGCCAAGGTAGGCTGGAGATTTGTTGTTGGTTAAACTTGCAGATAACCTTTCTATAAATTACTAGAGATGCAGTTTAGGGGCCACAGAAATTTCAAGGAAGACATACAGACAAGTCTTTCTATATTGAAATATGACAGTGCGGGGGAGGGTGCACCGCATGTGTCCATCCTAAGGTAAAATTGAAATTTAATGCTCCTTTTCATTAAGAAAATATGTCTTTTCGTTTAAGTAGTCAGAGGATTGGACATGGAAAAATGTTCAGGCAGTTGGATGGGATAATTGAAGCCCCACAGCTTCCCTAGTATAATTTCCATCATTGCACACTGCATTGGATTGTACCACATGGGAATCTATTTCATTTCATATCTTTTCAGGCAATCATGAAATGTTGAAAGCCAGCCATTCAGTAAAAACAGATGAAGAGAAGACATCATCCACAACAGACAGTCAGTCCCCAGCAGACGTCACCTCCAATATTATCATTTATAAAGGCTCCATGATTAATATAGATAGCTTGTTAGAAAAATTAGAGAAAAGCGAAGAGAATAGAATGACTATGCAGAAAAAATTATCCACCTTAGAAACTGATATCAGTAAGTGAACAAACATCATGTTGCAATTTCATTTCTGTTTTTTACACTGGTCATTTTCAAGTGTTGTTTTCTTTTTTTGGGAAGGTTGTTACCTCTTTAACACTTAAAAACAATCAGTGAAATAAATATATTTTTCTATAAATTTATTAACTTCCAGGAATGATCAGTCCTTTTTTAGTAGTATATGAACTTATGGATTGGAAGCACTTTTCACCATTTCATTTCATTCCATGGGAAAAGTGCTTCCAATCCATAAGTTCCCAACTTTTCATTACTTTTTCCCATGGAATGGGGGGAAAGTGCGAACATATAGAAAGCTCATATATTACTTTTTTGTAACCTCTAATTTCTCCCAGTGACTGTGTTTACTGCCACATTTCGGAATTTCAGAGGTTTTGGGATTTTTTTGGACATTCTGTCTTTGATAGATAATTTCTTTGATTTTAGGCTACACTAAAGAGAAATTGAATGACGCAGAACACAACAAACAGAAAATATTCGAAGATCTTCAGAAAACAAGAGAAGACTTGTCAAGAGTCAAAACATCCCGAAATACAGCCGAAAATCAAAGTCGTAAATACCATAACACTTTACACGGTACCAAAGATGTCCTCACAAAAGCTATTGCCTCCATCACCAGTGTCCTTTTTCAAGAAGAACCAAAAGTCAAGCATGAGACTCCCAAAAATGAAGTAGAAGTGAAAAAAGATTCAGAAGCTTCTACGAGTGAACCAACTGAAACTGAAGCTCCTGTCCCAGAAGTGAAAAAAGATGAAGTGAAAGTTAAAAATGAAGTCATGTCCGAATAATGACAAATCCAGTTAGATAAATTGGAATATAACTTTAATCATTGTTTGATGCTTGGCGGCTTTTTTACTGCCAAATATTCAACTTTAAGAACTTTTAAGGTACAAAGGCAGCATTGATTTTGGCATGTAAGGTACCAATTTGTGTTTCATTAAAACATGTATTTGTTAATTTGCTCTATATAATGGTAATCAAAAAATGTTTTGGGGGAAAAATATCCCTTGAATATGAAAAGGATGATCATATGTATTGGTGGTTGTTATATCATTTATAATTAGTTTGTACACATTTTATGAAATTGGCATGAGATTGACTCAACCATGGGTGCTGCTCGATTGGTTAGTTCTGCACGAACAAGGCAGAACAGAGTTCAGAACGTGTTCACTGTGTGTTGAAAAAATAGGAGGTGCAGACAGATTTCAAAATGGCGGAGAAAGAAAACGATGAAAACCATTTGAATTATGACGATTCCGCTTTCATATTGTTCGATTGGAGCAGACGGAATCTGTTCAGAACTCTTCAATCGAGCACCACCCTGGAATCCTACTGGAATCAATTCCATACCATTATTATCCCCCTTTCATCAGATATCATTCTCTTATGAAAATATCATGGATGACATCATATATTGGATGATATCTCCTTGTTATAATGGCTTTGAAGCTTATTTTTATGTCACCTTCTTTTATGTTTCTATGAAATTGTGGATGAATGGTTTTCAAATTTCCATTCTGAAAAGTGACATGGATAGTGTGTTGAGAGTTAATTAGACAATTATGTTTGGGATTTATTACATTCAAATATGTCTCATAACATTGTTATTGACATTAACATCATTTCATATATACTTAAAATGCATATTTGAATCTTAATTAAGCATATATTTCATCCTATAATGGACAGAAAAGAAAATCTGTCAATTTCATTTCATTTCATTTTCAATATTAGGTGCAGAAAAGTAACTGTTAGCTCCATTTCATTTCATTTTATTTCTTGTTCATCTACAATCTTGATATTTTCCAAATGTTAACACCTTGCATTTGATTAGAAACTATCAGGTTTGTATTTTTTTATCATAGGTAAATCTCAGGCCTGAATGCTAAAGTGTACAAACAAGGTGTTCAGGTCTTGAGGCTGGGTATCGATTACCAAATAGTGATCGATTGTCAACAGCTATGGAACCATAATTGATTAATAATCGAAATATTTTAGTAGAGAAACAGTTTAAATACTTTAAGAAAAACATGCCATATTTCGATTTTCATGGGTTATTTTTGTGTCATACAAGTATATTCTTTCTTTGATCAGTTATTATAGTTTATTGTGGGTAAGTTTTCCACATATGTGGAAGATATTGCTACTTGTTAATAGGGTACAGATGTACAAATGTAACTCTGACATATAATCGATAATCAATAATCAAAATTATCAATTCTTATTGACGATAATCGATTATTTCAATTATTTTACCCAGCCTTACTTGATACTATGTATTGACAAATCCAGCATGCACATTAATCGAGCACTTGTTTAGAGATGTACTATACACTGATTTGATTGCCTTAAACAGTACAAACAATAATGAAATATAGCACTAGAATTTTTTTGTTGCCAAGATGTACTCGTAGTATGAAATTGTCAAATGTTTTTGGCGCCATTTGTATAAAGCTCTACAGATAATAAAATGAAGGTTTAACATCTATGTTGTGGTGTGAAATTGCATCTTTTTCAGAAAATTTATGCATTTTAAGGAACACTTATAAGTTGTGTACAAAACCTGTGGTCTATTACTATATTTTAAAGATGGGTTCCCTTATTTTTATTTATGAAATGAAAATGCTAAGACTTTTATGAATAGAAAGTAGAGGTGTTCTAATGACTTGTAAAAATACCAGTTTGTCTCGCATGTCTATAATTAATTTATTGTCAGCAAAACTAAAAGAGATTTACCAAGAAAGGTCAAAAAGTCTTTTTTGTTTATCCAGGCTGTACATACATGGACATTTATGATTGGTTCAAACTTAATTATATGCAATAAGAACATAATGATATGATTAAGAATACATGATAATTCATTAGAAACACCAATTAGTTTGCCTAATTTGATTCTAAATAATAAGGAAACCCAACTTTAAATGAATAGTGGATCACTGCCATTAAGTCAATGATAACTTCACAGGGAACAGTCCCAAATAAGTCTGATGTTGGAAATATTAAAATCAAGGTTTTAAATATTCTCTTAAATAACAAGAAATAATTCAGCATTAAAGTAATTACCATATAAGACAAAATATCTTAAAAATGCATATCCGGACTATCTCTTCACAACATATTCGGCAATCCTCGGCAATTTCCGTAAAGTTGAATAGATTTTAGTGTAACTTCCACGGTTAGCTGTTTGTTCACAATAATGCAAATATAGTCTTGGCTGTTGGGTCATTGGGCACTGGCCAAGCAAAATGGATTGTATTTTTAGGTGACGTTTTTCTCAACTTTTCCGTAAATGACGTTTTCTTCAACTTTTCCGCGATGAGAACTTAGTGAGGGCCTTATCACTTAAGGTGTGAATGACGCATTTTCCATCTGGAGAGGTCGTCATATTAAGTCAAGAGAAAGACCATAATCCGATAATATTTTTGGAAGGCGGCCTAATTAATTATAATTGATGTCATTGAAGTTTGTTACCTGTTCGGGCCAAAAAAACGTGCACGATAAGGACATGGCGGCATTTTTTCTTTAACTGGTCACGTTAGGATAGGTTTATGAAATATGATTACATCTATCAAATAATCCTCAAGGAAGTGTCAAGTAGAAAATTCCTAAACGAACCATTTAGGGCTGCATTTGGATCATCCTAAAATTATTTTGACAGATATAGTTTCATGATATTTTACCTCAAGTGGATACTGTATACGTTATAACAATTTATAACAATAGAAGAATCTGTTTGCGCTTTCGCTCTCCTCTCCGTTCCCCTCTCCGTTCCCCTCTCCGTTCCCCTCCCACCAGAAGAATGGTTTACACCTCCACTCGTTTCTAACAAATTTAAAAAAATGATGGTTTACACGTTTTGTGTCACTAAGTACCAAATCAATTCTATTTTTCACATATTTTCTTGGGGAGATAACTCTTTCAGACGTTCCATGATAAGAGACTTAAATTGTGTCCATATGCGCTGCAAAGAACTGCCGCATTTTGAATCTCAACCTGGACAGTTTTACACCTATTTTGAGCTTCGGGAGTCTCGCCCCGCAACTGAACTTAAACTGTATGAGCAATGTAGGCTATTTCCAATTTACGAATGAAAGCCAGCAATTACGGATGAAATAGAAATCATTGTAACAATTAGGCACTGAGTTGTTCCCCTTGTTTCCGAATATCAAAATTTCTAGAGCTGCCTTAGTTTTTCAGACAAGTAAAGGTAGTAACGAATTTGAGTCCTCAAACGATTTTTTTTTAAAATACTGGAATACCTATGACATCGTCACCTTGTGATGCTCCAATTCCTGGAGACCCTTTAAAGATCATTTCTGATATTGATAAAACGATTTCGATAATCTTATTTGTTGAGCCGATAAAGATCTCTCAGACTCAATAATTTGAACTCGTAGACTACTTTTCAAAAGACATTGCAAGATCATTTTAAGTTCACTTGTGATATAATTATAATCTCGGATGATTTTAAATATCTAAGCGATGGTGATCTGATATGCCTACTTTGCAGTTATAATGCATTAAAACTTTAGCCTACTTATATTTCCTTTTACTAAGCTCGCATGGGTCTGAAATATTAGCGTTTAATGTCTTTTTTATTACACGGACCACCAAAGAATCGTTATCTTTCAAGAAGACTCGTTCAGCCAGAAAAAGTTCATGCAGTGCTCAGAACTGTACCAGTTCAGGCGAAAACCCGCCATCCATAGTGTTTGGAGTTGGGAGAGCTTTAGATATGATATTCTCCGATGAGCTTCTAAACTTCTAAGCTTCTAAATGAAGTAGATAGACAGATATTTATTGTATTGTTCGCCCTTTTTGGGCAGCATACATCATTATACAAGATAATACACAATAATAAGTTATATGGTGTAAGACGGGGGTTTCAACCTTTTTCAATTTATTATCCCTAACAGGATCATTGATCGATTCCAATATTCCTTTCCGTCTATAAATAGTTACCATTTCGGGATTTTCTCGTGTTTGTTTTCCCTGAATTTTGTTTAAAGCCTGACAGAACAACTTAATTTATGATAGTCCGAAAAGCATCCCTCAAAGCCCCCACCCCTCCCTCCACCCGCTAAGAAAAAAAAGAAGAATTACCCCCAGGTTGAAAAGCCTGTGGTCGACGTCTACTAAGGTTGTAAAGTTTGTATATATTATTGTTTACACATAAACCAAGCATGGATTAAGACATCGTGCACGTGTATATCCAATAGGCATTGCAAAAAACATTTTTTGGTTGGATTACAAATGCACAGGCCATGTGTATTATTTCAATGGGTCGGGACTTGCATTTTATAAAGTAATACGGGTAAAATAAATTGTGTCAAATCAACTAGGTCACAATTATGGATATGGCTAATATAGCCATATCTCTCCAAAATGTATTAAAACGGCAGGTTATTTGAAACACAGGGTGAATTACTCCCACACAAGAAAGAAATCAAGCCCGAAACAAGATATTTAATCTACAGCTCTGTATTCTGGGTTCAACAGTCACACGCCGATATATTGACCAATCAAAAGTTTTCAATATTAGCAGACTACTAACTGAACATGGGACCAATATGGCCGATACGACTACGGTAGTGGAGGGAAAAGTGAAATATAGGGACGGTAGAAAGGTGAATTTTGTTCTAAATCAGTTTTTCCGTGTCCGGATATACCATTGGATTTATTAGTTAACTCGGTTTGTTTTTTTCTTTCAGTGGAAACCACGGTGGTGCGTTTTGAAAAAGCCCTCGCCAGTCGCTGGTAAGTTACTGTTATGTTACACAGTTATACAAAGTTTTTAAGTTTTTACAACAATGTTTCTATTTCAGCATTCTTAGTGAATGTTTAAACTATTTCACAGACTCTTAAAACATTTTATATACATTGTTTACATTTGTATCGCAACTTTTATTCATATTATACAAATTCTGTAATTATTTTGACAGTAGAGTTTTGTCGAATTAAGATTGACCCAAATTAAAAGATGGAGTGTAATACTGCTGAGAAAGTGTTGACATCCAACTATTAAACAAATATATTTTCTTTTATATGTCTATCTTTTAACTAGTCAAATAGTTTGACCTAGTAATGATTTTTAGCTTTCACAAAATACTGACAATATCTTGAAGTTTGTATAAAGTGGGTTTCTCATCAGTGTATGGTTTTAATACCTGAGTATTCTATTCTATTGATCTAAGATTTAGCTTATTATATGATTTATCATAGTCTTTTTAAGTTTAAATTGGAGTAAATCAGTAACTTTTATATCCAACAGTTTTGGGACTATACATTTGATTACACATAATAAGAGTCCCATTATGTACAATTGATTATTTATAATATTTTTTGATCAGGATAAAATGATAAAATAGGCCTATAGTTATTCCTAAGAAATGCAAGACTACTATCAATAACACTAACAGAAACTTGATCAGTAAACCAGATTCTTATTGCTTAATTAGAGGATAGGGGGACAGGATTGTCAAGAAATGTAAAATTCAGCACCTTCTTACTCTTGTGACCATTCCAGATGGAAACTGTACTAATTAATATAGTTTAGAGAAATTCTGTAAAGAAGATTATCTTTTGAGATAAGCTTTCATCCCTTAAAGAATGAAATAAGGAATTTTGTGACTATGTAATAAAAGTATTATATTGTAAATATGGGGAAAAAAAGATCCTTTTATGCAATAAATGTGTTTATTACTTAGATCTCAGATGACTATCACTTAAAGGGTTTGTAAAGAGGTTTTTCTAAAATTTGTATGTGTATCAGACACACAGGTAAACACGCACCATTCCAATTTTGAGTTAGACATGTGTGGTTCCTGCTATTCCACTGAAACTAAGTGTTTGATAATGGCACTAATCGGGAAGGGCCTTATGTGATAAAGCATATTTTGCAATAAGTGATGTGTAGGAAACACAGATGTCTGACTGAAAATTGTAATGGTGCAAATTGATGCTGCCAGGTTCCTGATACCCAAATTTAGAAAACCTTTTTACATTCCCTTTAATTCTCACTGTAAATTGTTGAGATGATAACAAAATATTTTTTTTATACTTTTAAACAGGTAGACACAAAGTACAAAAGTACAAATATGCAATATGATAATATGTACTAGGTTGAGACGTGCACTAAAGAAGCACAGAACTATATTAAAAATTTCCCTTTTGAAAGAAAGGTGGCATAATCAGGGCTCTTCTGGAATACATGATAGAACTCAGTGACATGGTTTCTCAATTCAGAGAGTCAACATAACATATATAATGTTCAAAGTATTTTCCTCTACATGAGAGATGCTGCAATAATTTGTTCAATTCAAAAAAACATTTTCTGTATGATTTTTTTTAATCCAAATAGGATTAATTGCTCAGATTAAGTCAAAAATTTTCAAATTTGGTTGATTTATGTTTAAGTCAGGTAATATATAATAGCAGTTTATATAGCCGAAACAAAATTGATGCTAGAAAGTAAACAAAATTGATGCTAGAAAGTCATTCTGTGATGACTTTTTGTCAGCAACAGTGTCTATCAGTGACATTGATGACATAAATTTGAGAGCTTCACATGTGAAAAAATCTTCAAATATGTGACAATGACTTGTAAATTTGTTGATTTTGTCATGTTTCGATTGCTGTTTGTTTGTTTACAATGTGTTTTAGACTAGTCCTAGGTTGATCTGTGAACATAATCTTTCTCATCGTTTGAAAAGTAAGGTCATAGCCTAGTCACTGCTTGTCATCGATGTTTGGTGACAATTTGGACACTAGGTTAGTGTTACACAGTCACTATAGCTTCATCCTAACCTAACCTTTTGAAGTTAACAAAATAAATGTTTATTGACCCACAATATGCACCAATGGCTTAAATGCACTGAGTGAAATGAAACTAATTTATGTCATTTTAATGCCAAAGAAAGAGCGAACTTGTCCTACCATAGTATTGGTGCATGGTGCCAAGTTTTATGGCTTATTCATGGGTGTAGATCAATGAGCTTGCTTCAGCTATTGATAGAAAGAAGGAAAAGAACCATTCATTCTTGACATGGTCTTTGCCGGGAAGTGTTTCCAATAGGTGTTATATAGGTTTTGATCACAGGATAGGTGATCTTGAATGTGCTTATTAAGGGGGAACAGAATCACCATCTGTATGATCAATCATACCTTAGTCTCGTAAACAGGGAATTTTTGCCAAGCTAATCAGTAAAAGTGTTCACAGTTCACTGTCCTTGGGACTGCCACATGTAGAAAAGACATATATAGAAATATAAAGTGAAACTCTTAGTTTGAAAAATCTTTAAAGTTAAGATACTGGTGGTAGTCATTCTTGTAAAATGTGATGTCTTTCTCCAGACTTTTAGCTAAGACATTTGGTTTTCTCTGATTTTGCTTTGTTCTTGATGTGAGTTGTTATGAAAGTTGAAACATGGATGTTTATCTCTCACATTTAAAGATGATAATGATATAAATCAAATGTCAGAAAAGCTGCAGGCAGACAATAGCTGAACTTTAATTATCATTAGTCTCATTATTTATATGACATTTGATTCTTCTCTTATAAATGATAAACAAATACTGTGACATTTCCTTCATTTATGTACACGTTATAGCCTGATTATGTTTAATATCTGAAAATGCTCTGGCCTATTGTAACAATTTTCTGCCCTTTTCTTTTTAAATAGTTGTTGTATGATTGAATGACTGTTCTGTTTTGAGGGAATTTTCTTGCTTCCTATTCCTTTTTAATTTGTGAAGTATGATTCTGTCTGATATCTATAGCAGAAGCCTAAGATTATTTATCAGGTTAGGTCAAAAGGTTGATTTGAAGAACATTCAAGAGGGCTGTCATTAGACCCTAACTGAAGTGGCTATATTAAAAATAAAAGCTAATAAAAAATGGAATGAAAGTTAGGTCTAATTTTGATTAGACTGCATTCAGATGTGTTCTGGAAGTAATTTTGTCTTGTAAGCTTTTAAGATGGGTTGTATACTGACTGAAGTTGGTGGCATCTAAGAGAGCATGATCAAAACCTGAACAGTTTCATGTTCTATTTTGTAGCAGAACTTGAATTTGGTTATCAAACTGAATGGTAAGAATCTGTAACTGTCTAGTTGATAAGAGTTGTTACAAGTCAGTTAATCTGACTACAGATCAAATGAGATACTATAAATCATCAACTAATTCCCTTAAAGAGATATGATATATAAGAAAACTAAATTTAGCAAATACCGTCATCAAACAGTGAACAAATTATAAAAAAACTTTTCTATCTAACTGTAGTCTGCTTTGTCATTTGAAATTGAAATTGTTGACCTATTTTGTGAGTAGTATGTTATCAATATATACAACTGCTGACTTGCATGTTATACATGTCAAATTAGGTTAACTTTATTTACAGTACTATTTTCAAACTGTGATAAGCTTGATGTGTGGGCTGAAAATGATTCTCTGTGAGTTAGGTCTAGTTTACCAGACAATGGCTATTATCAGACAGTTTAGTACAAATAAGTTGATTGAAGCTTCAGATCAATGCAAGTGCAATTTAAGTGTACTGTTCTACAATTTACAGTTAAGATACCCTCACACCATAGCAATTACCAGTCCATATGGTTTAGTGCTGGCCAATCGATGTATCGGAAGGTTGTATATTGATACTTGACGATACCTCTCATTACATAAAAAAAGTGGGGATTTTTTTTAGTAAGTAAATAGAATCACAAATTTTTCTTACGGACTCTTATCTTTGAAGATGAAGTGTTAAATTTTACCCCATAACTCTTGTATCGTCATAGGTATCATATTGTAACTCTTGTATCGTGATATGTATCGTATGATATCTCTTGTATCGTGATATGTATCGTAACTCTTGTATTGTGATACATATCGTATCATATCTCTTGTATCGTGATACATATCGTAACTCTTGTATCGTGATATGTATGGTAACCTTGTATTGTGATACATATTGTATCGTGACTTAATTGGCGATACCGGGACATCTTTTAGCATGATATATTGAATTTTGTGGCATTATGAAAGACAAAATGCTGCCTTCAGAGCATAGTTTGTTATGTATTTTACCTTGATTGTGGAATTTTTAAAATTCTTAAACAATTGTTAAATTATGTTTGTACCTCAAAATTCAAACTTCCAATTATTCTTATCATTGGAAAGTCAACTACAGTATCAATTCCAAACTAGTTGTCTTGATGAACATTTTATATCTACAACATGTTTTTGGCTGCAGAAGATGAGCTCTTGTTAATATAGACCAGAAATAATTACTTTTTAAAACTCTGGTAGATGAGTAGGAAATGTTAATTTATTTCTAACAAAGAAAGTGAAAAAAATGTAACCTGATCAGAGAGAGTTAATGATAAATCTGAAACCAGAAGGAAGTTGAAGTATTTTAATATCTTTCTACTACCAGATGGCAATGAAGTCCAGATGCCAATTAATGGTGGCCAGGTGGCTAGAATCATCCTCACTCTAGGGTTAAAGGAATGAAACCACAAGATTGTATAACTGTCATCATGGGGTGTTATATCATGGTTTAATTTAGATTGAAAAATTTGATAAGCAATTTATCAGACCAAATTTCAGTTTTGGCCAATCAAGTTATATTTTGATTCACATCTCACATTATGGTAGCAATTTAGAATGTTCCGGTAGTAAACCATCAAATATACAAGATCGTTGTGATAAATGTTTTTTTTTGCTAATGAAGTTTAATTTTTATTCACATCTCTTTAAGAAATATGGTAGCAATTAA